CATCAATATGCCTTCCAGTGAATCAGTGCTACCCCTGCAGATAGTCTCCAAGTCATCAATGTGGTCACCACTCATCAATGCCACCTCTGCAGATCACATCCAACTCAGGTAAGTATCTTCCATAGCCAACCTTGAATGAACACTCTCAGCCTCAATCCCTTCCTCTTATGATGCATATACACTCTTCAATACTCATGAGGATCTACTCTGGATACTACTCATAGCTACATACTAACCCTCTACTTCTAATGCTAACTCGCTGGGCAGCTATGGCTGCATCACTTCCAGCGTACAGGCATCTTCCTTCCTCCAGCGCATCTTCTCCTCCAGCGCTGCTCCTCCTGACTCAGCGCACAAGTGCACCAGCACTTCCACRCATTGGCAGCCAGTGGAGATCTGGGTAGGAATGAGGCTGGCTGCCTCCTTTATACTCCTCGCTGGGTCTGTATTGGCTCAATCCAGCCTTCCTTTTGTCCCAGACCCTGCATTGCATGTGTCCCAGTAGAGTCCCAAACGAAGTTCAACTGCTGCTGAGGCCTCCCGGCCTGAATTTGGACTTGAAAGTCTGGATCTGGACTGACCCCTGGACTGACCCCTGGACTTAGACCAGAACTGGGACTGTGCCTATTGACTTTACTTTCGGACAGGCACAACTCTCAACGAACAGACACATTTACTGCTTGAACAGACACTTTACTTGGCAYGAACAGACAYWCTGCCTGCACGTACAGACACACCCTTACCCAAACAGACATGACATACACATCTCCTGGTGAACAGGTAAGTCTTTTSACAATGTCCTTTGCCTTAGTTTTAAATATGCCTGTTGATAGAGAACTTGACCTTTGACCTGCTTTCACGTTTCTGAGCTCTGACGAGATACCTTTTCACAATGCTTTACTTTTTCAAGGCCCGTGCTGCTTTATTTTTACAAGGCCTGAGGCCTATATCGGGTAAAGGCCCTTTTACTAGTACCACAATGGCAATACAAATTATACAATACAATTAGAACATGCTGTGTTTTCTGTGCCCTTGCCGGATTTCGACGAGTCCCCAAGAAAGTTATCTTCATAGATCATCTCCAGTGTGACCTGCATAGCTTATTGGACTATTTCGAAGATAAAGCGGCCTCTTACAGTCCGCCTGGGGAGTACGATCATAAGGCTGAAACTCAATGCAAGTGATGCTCCTTGTGTGCCTCAAATTAATTCTACTTCGTGATAAACATCCTAGGGCGCTGCTTTTTGGAAATGTCAGGAAATCCCTAAAATGATAGTAAAATCCTTAAAACTACAGGATTAAGGGACACCGGTGATCACTGCCCCCAACTTGGTCAAAATGGAATTCCAGAAAAGAGGACAAATTTCTTAACTTTAATTAATGTCAAAAGCAAGCTACCTCCTCCTTGACTGACTCACCTGAATTGTTTCAGGTCGATAATTGCCGCCTTCCAACCCCTGTGAAACAAAACTGCAGAGAAACACGATACCCTTGTTTGCAAAATCCTGCACATGTGAAGCAACAACAATAACACAACAACTGCAAGTCTCAGATTCTTTATGGAATCGTGTTCTGCTTGGAACAGGTATCCTATGAACTGGAATAATCAAACCATGCTATTGAGTTGAGAGTCTTGAGACCAACCATGCACCACACACGTCACACGATTCTCACACTGGATGCAGTACCACACAAAGCATACACGAGATATGTACAAGAATGCCTTTTTGAAGATCAGGCGGTTATGGCCGCCGGCAACAACACGCAGTCCTCACGACTCTCTCTCTCTCTCTCATTTCTCTCCCCCATTCCTCTCTCTCTCCCCCTCTCTCTCTCTCTATATATATATATATTCTCTCTCTCTATAGATATATATCGTCAAATAGAACTGCCCGGTAAACCGTAGGCAGAGAGAGAGAAGAGGACAACAAACGAGGGGCTGTGACAAACTGTTTCGTCGGAGTTTCACCGACTCATCAGGAGGATGAACCGTCAACAGTCTGCAGAATCCCCTCACTGATTACACTGTAAATGATAATCTACCTTACCCAAAATCAAAGTAGACTATCACTCACCCACACCAGATGGAAAACTCTACAGACTGTCGGTTCACACCCCATCACAAGCCAGCAAAACATCCACGAAACAAAGAAAGGTCTGTCACAGCCAAAAAATACACTCCAGATATATACATTGGGTACGAATCATCCAACTCGCAGTCCTCATGACTCTCGCTCGTCTCTCTATACCTAACTACAGCTATGGGTGCCGAGTGTATCTTTGTGACAGCACACACCGCTTGGTCCCACAGAACAGTGCAGCAGCGCTCCTGCAAGGGCACGAAAGTGAACGATGTGTTGACCCCTTTGGCGACTGGACTTTTCTATGGGACGTTTGCCTTCCGGACTTCTACTTCAGGTATTGTACTGGAGCCGCCACCCATGCTGTTGCTTCCGGAAGTTCCCTGACTTTGGGTCTTGCCACACCACTCCCGAAACTGTGAAAAGTTTCAAGAGCTGTCAGAATTCGTTTCCTTTTTACAAAAACTTCGGGCCCTTGGCCACACAGCACCCTGGACAACGTATGCAAAATACAAACATATTGCTTTGCTTTTTGTTGAAGATGTGTGCCTGACACCTCTTTGAAATCAAGTATCCTTGAAAACACGAGTGGTGCGGGCTGGGATTTGGGGTGCTTAGAGTAAAAGGGCCTTTACAAATTAGACCCCAGATGAATGCCCAACAGTGAGGGGCCCTGTCGAGCAGCAACCCAAAAGACAAGTTCCCTGAGGCATATGTCGCATCCAGAATGAGATGACAAGTCGTTTTGAACAGTCACAAACAGGTCCTGCACGAACAGGGTATCGGACACAGCTTTCAAGACTGAGTTAGGGTCATGTCTCCTCCATGGAAAGTCATGTCTGTTCGGCAATGAGTCAAAGGCCACAGTCCCAGTCCAGTCATAATCCCACGAGTCAGGCCTGATCCAGGCCAGGAGTCCAAAAGACACGCCCGATGGCCCAAAGCAGCAGCAGACCATGGGAAAAGATACTGGGACACACACTTTGCAACAACGAGTACTGGGCAGGAGTCCCAGACACTTGAGGCTGAATGCAGGCCACGCCAGGCCAGTCCAGCACTATAAAGGACTGGCCAGCCTCCCATTTGGACAGATGCTCACTTCGCATGAGAGAGTGGAAGTGCTGTGGCACTTGTGCGCTAGATATGTGTGAGCTGCGCTAGGCAGAAGAGCAGCGCTATGTGGTAAGGAAGAGAGTGCTGGCTAGAGGGAAGGCAGCCATAGCTGCGCAAGCGCTAGTTAGTATGTTAGTAGGGATAGTCAGTAGGAGATACCAGTGAGTAGCATTCAGAGTAGATCCTCGTGTGATAAAGGCAGACGAGAGAGGGGGAAGTGTGAGTTATGGTGACACTTACCTGTTGAGCGCTGATGTTGACATTTGGCAGCTGGCGCTGATGAGCGCCAGGCTTGGAACTCATGTTGATCGAAGAAGACTTGTAACTCTGTTCAGCGCTATACACGTTGAACTCACGATGTTCTCTCTCTAAATCTGGTTTGATAATTGAGTTGAGCTTCCTGGTTCTCATTCATCTTCTATTGGCTTTTGTGTGAGACTTCGCAATCTGTGAAATCAGTGTATATGCATGTGATCTGATGCACTCCAGCAAGTGATGAACAGTCGGGTTCCTTGCACGAGAGGGACTCTTGAGACCGTTTCCTCAACCCTCTTGGAAAGTTCTCTTTTCTATAACGCAACAAAAATGCTAAGAATAAAAAAATAATGACCTATTTCAGCATACGTGTCCTTACGAAGTGATTCAGGGCCATTTCTTCAATTTTCTATTTTTTGTTATTTTTGCAGGTGTCCTTTGTCAGTCAGCCCAGCAAAACGTTTCAGGCCTGGTACTGGCCCGAACAGCAAGGGTACTGGACGCCGATCAGGCAGTAGCCTGATCGATGAACTTGGTGCATCTGAGATTCAGTTGCTAATCGACTCTGCAGATTGGGAGGCGAGCCACAGTTCTGCAGAACTGTTTGGCCCAAAACAGTGTTGCATTTTGTCCCTCTTTGGCCCAAACAGTGTTGCATATTGTCCCCGTTTGACCCAAACAGTGTTGCATTTTGTCCCTACTGGGCATTCAAAAAGATGTCATCAAGAGAATGGCCAGTAGAGTGTGCAGCCGTACTGAATCTGCTCATATGCACAACTAGGAGAGACTATCAGCAACAACTGACTCATTGTTCTGTGCCGATCTCATGATTGCCATAAACTAGGCAATATAGCCATCCAGACCGAGAGTCAGTGCATCGCATCCCTGCTAATGGCATTGAGGAGATACTCGGAGCCTCCAAAGAACAGAACCTGCAAATGTGTGTGTTCTATAATAGCCTAGTCTAGCATGGCCACACGACCATCAACAATGTCCATACAGTGTGGAAATACTTGTCGACAATGGCAATTGTCAAGATCTGGAGGAGGCATACTGCTTACTATGTTGGATGCTCTTCTGTAAAGTTAGACAACTGGATGCGAATGAGCGGCACCATGGCAAGAGGAGTCTGTGGATGTAATTCAACGCCCTCTGGCAGCCCGAAGCACGCTCTGTAACCTTGTAGTGCGAGCAACCTGATGCATGTGCAGTGTGCACGACGTTAATAAAATTTTAAAACGGAGTCCTATCATATGCAGGCTGGGACAGGGTTGACGTGAGTATTGCAGACCATGGATCATGGACTCCAGTTGACGAATGTTTGCTGTGAGCTCAGCATTTGAGACATTTGTCTCAAGCCATTGCAGCAAGTGGGGTCTCTCTCTCTCTCTCTCTCTCTCTCTCTCTCTCTCACGCGCGCCTGCGTGTGCGCTTCCCCTCTCTCTCTCTACCTCGCTCACTCTCCATCCAATTGGATCGCTCATATATCCTTTCAGAATACACCCACGTACAATGCTACTTCATCTTCTTCCTCTCCTTGGTGGCTACGGCCACCTGCATCTTCCAGGTCTACCCCACTTGGGCGCTTCGCCTTTGCCCTTTGTCTTCCTCGTCACCCGACTGTCTAACTCAAAGGTCACACAAGCAGTAGCAGAGCTTCCGCAACACTTGAAAAGTGACATGGCTGATGCACTGTAGCAACCATATAAACAGCAGCTGAAGTGAATCAATGTCAGCTCTGGACCGGTACCAGTCGATGCGGCCTGTTGGCTGTAAGTTGCCAATTCCGGAAGCTAGCAAATTTTCCAAGGATGCTGCTGAGACCACAGATACTGGGGCTATAACTCCCAACTACCAGATGCTGTGACGCTTCAAGACTTAGGATGCACCGCACTCCTAGGGCCTAATCTGGGACCTACCAGAACCAATTGGGACTGGGCGCAGGCGAGACTCCGGGACAGGGAATGGGACTCTGTCACTCTGGGACAAGAAGTCGGGACACCGCAGTCCGTGTGAAATCCTTTGACCATTCTAAACGGGTTGCCTATGTAAGCAGACGATGCAGGGTCGATTGCACAGCATAGTAAGGACCCGAGGTCGTGTCAATCAAGAGAGGTCTGTCATTATGAATTTGAGCTGTTGGGCGAGTCATGGAGGCAGAACTTGGGCAGCTTTGCGAATAGATCCACCAGTTCAAGCAATGAGATAGTCTGGTCAATGGTAATCTTCCTTGTGGGAGGACACTGTTGAACCCCACAGGGTATAGGGTGGTGAGATGCCGAACCCGAAACCCTTCACAAGGCGTAGCTGCACACTTGAACAGATCAAGGTTGATAGATCCATCAGCATTCAGGTAGAGTTGAAGGTCTATGCATTCTGAGGGCCAAATAGTGAAAATGAAAAGGGGGTTGTCTTGCCATGGAGTGGTGCAGATGACAGTGGCATCAGCGATAAGTTTGGGATGAGGCAGTAGAGAGAGAGAGCCAGTGCTGTTGCAGGCGGTAGTGTGCCCAGAAAGCATGTGAGTAAGAGAGCATAAATAACACCTGGAGCCAAGAGAGCATCCATTCCCTGATGAATACAGCTCCAATCATGGCCTGTACTTGCAACTCAAACTGCTCCACAGCGGCTGCAGCTTGCTTTATAAACAACTGCCCCACATCGTACATACGCGTGTTCTAGTCTTGATGAGCAGCCCAATCAACCCGGTTAGTCTGTCGTGCATAGTAGTAATGAGGAGAAGTAGGTTGGTTACCATAAACGGGGTTGTAAGGAGGAGAGGGAGTTGTTGTTCGTGCCATGCCACAGGCATGGGAACCCCTGTTCAAAATTCAAATCCCTTTACTGATTTACACCTTGTATTTCCAACATCATAGATAAACATCAGTAGATCCACTGGGATCTCAGCAAGAGCGCATGGCTAACAACTCGAGGCCAAAGAAAAGAGAACTGAGAGGTTACACCACGGTCCAGGATTCTAGGCCTGCTGGTTCAGCCTGAGGAAGCTGCTGACGCCCCTATCAGATGGAACTCACCACAGCGTTTTCCAAGTGATGGCTCGACTTATATGTAGAATGCCTCCTCCAGTGAGTGCACTCAGGGCCACTTCTCTGGACGCAGGTCACAAGAGGATTAACTATTCCATTGGTGAGGAGCTGTCTGACCATCACGAGGAACTTCTGCATACAAGGTCTATGTCAAGGAGGTGGGTGGGTGAGAGTGCTCCGCACCTGAGTCTAGCAAACTCGGGTGGGGAGTGAACTGAACTGCATACTCACCGTGCAGGGGGAAAGGCAAAAACTCGTGCCCTTGTGGTGACTACCACCACAGGACCTAGGCACCTGAAAGAACAACCCGAGAGTCAGACAAGCAATTCAGGGCAGACAACAATTCTGGGCGGAAAGTTACATTGACATAGCTGTACATGTTCAATCCACCACTGTAAGAGTAGTGCCGTTGTACTTATCAAACCAATTAATCTCACGGAGACTCACGCACAATGTTAGACAAAGTGTCGACGCTAACAACGGGGTTATTGTGTCATTTCCCAAAATGGGATGCATAAATTAACAAACCGGACGAAATTCAATTGTCGACTGCTGCCATCCTATTGGTCTTTCCACAACCTGACACACACTGTGAAAACTGCCTATCCCACGTCTCACATTTACAATTTCTTCTGACACAGATCAACAGATTAACACGCTCACAGTGTCTGTGATTTGCACATCCAAGTGTCCACTAAAGAATGTAACTTGGCCGAGTTCTGCCTCCCAACCGACCACCGATCCCACTAGCAGACGATCCACAACGGGCGGGGGCTCGTGGGTTTAGAGCATAGAATCAAACACCGATTGCACTATCCAACGATCCAAAACCAGCGAGAGCTGGTGGGCTTCGCGAGCATAGAGTCGCCCATGGCTGATAAACTTCACATGCTTGTTTGAGACACGCACACATGCCACACATGCATACTTGATCCTTGCCAATCTCAACTCCCCTATCCGTCCTTACCCAGACCACAAACCCACTCTGTCTCCTATGCTCACTCCATCCTCTCTGGTCGAAAATACGTCCACCCCACACTCGATCCCAGCCTGCTTCGATCCCAAAACTGGTTGCCATCCATTTCGATGCCCCCTCCCCCTCCCAACTCTGCATGATAAACTCCTATATTTCCGCATGCGCCAACTTAAGTATGTAACTATTGCCAGAAATGCTAAAAGTCCAGCAGGCGAAGTACTTCTGCAATTACTTGAAATGCGTCTGGAGTCTGGAGAATATAATATTTCATTTAGGAATGGCTACTGCTCCTGCAGCACATCAACTGGTTCATCATCGCCATATTCTAAATTCTAATCCTCCGCCTGTTCTCTCTCTCTCTCTCTCTCTCTCTCTCTCTCTCTCTCTCTCTCTCTCTCTCTCTCTCTCTCTCTCTCTCTCTCTCTCTCNCACACACACACACACACACACACACACACACACACACACACACACACACACACACACACACACCATCTGCGTGGCAATAAGATTGCAGGAAAATCATGGGCAGATGTCCATGAGCATTAAAATGAAGAGGTGATTACCATCTTGTCATGAGAAGTACAGAGAAAAGTGATGCTGCGTAACTCCAGATGATTGCAGGTCGTACCTGTTTTCCTGTCACTTCATCAAGCTTGAGTTCCTGCAGTAAGAAAATATCATTCACACCAAATCCAACGTTTCAATGGTCAACTTTCGTCCACAAACTTATGAAGGCTGAAAAAGAACATTTTAGTATTTTACCCGAGACAAGACGAACTGGCCAAGCACAAATGACAAACAGACATATGCCAGACATGATAACTGCTGTAAAATCAAGCTGACTTGCAAACAGTCACTCTCTCCAACCACCAGATCCTGCAGATGAGCCCCCATTGCCTTCCCAAACAGAAACCTGAGGTTTGATGGTTCCAAACAAGTCTGCAACAGCTACAGGTTTCACAATGATAGCAACAAACTAGCTGTGCCGTCCTTTTCTGTCCACCATAACAGAGCCTAACGATTAGCTACCAACATTTCTGTTTTCTTTTTTCTGAAGGGGTTGGTTGGAAGGTGGAGTTTGTCCAGTGCATATATCCGTGTTTGGGAAACCTGTCCGAACCCACGGTTTTGCAGCACTACAGCGAGTGTACCGTAATCGTGAATAGTCCGTGTTCTTGCTGGTTTGGTGTGTTTCAATTTCGTCCTTGTTATTTTGAAAATTGTTTGTTTGCCCCTTTGTTTTGTTTTTTATCGAAACTACTAGCCTTTCAGATATTTCTGCGCATCCCGCTACTAGGGCAAGTTTGTAAACACCTAAGGATTTGAGAAAAACTGGTAGAACCCAAAATAACGCAGGCTACCAGAAACTTCCAGAAGTTCCCATACCTCTGCACCCTACCTGGAAAGCGGCAGAATATGGTGGTACCGGCCCACACAATATCATATCTGGGCCCCGTTCCTGGAAACAGGCCAACCCCAGAGGCCAGCTGACTGTCTGTCCAACAATATACATGGCTGGCCAGTCCAGTTGAAGACACACTGGTTGCCGCCAGGCTGCCTCAAAACTGACTATAGGAAGTGGTACTTGCGCCAGCATTTCGGGCCAGAAAATCTGGAAGAGCTGGCAGGAACCCAGCAGGACTGAAACGCAGAGGGCGTATTGACTGAAGCTAAATTGTTTAGACAGAAACAATTCCGTCCGACAAGCATACTGACCCTAGCCTCCTTATCGTCCAGCGCTCCTACTCGCTCATCCGACCGACAGTAGTGAATGGCAGTGATCACTAGTTGATTGATGTTGGCATGATCAAGGTAACTCTTGTATGCTGGAAATGGCCGACTGTGATCCCCACTTGACTTCACGACCTTGTGCGAGCGCGTCCGATTCACGTGGGGAATACTAAAGCAGGCTGCACCCTAGCTTGATGCCAATCCTTGCTGAGCTCCTGACATGTGTGTTACTGCATGCATGTATGCAAATGGGATGTCAGACGGACTCAGACCTGGATGGCATACACAACTTCACTTGTAGAAACAACTGCCATGGGAATGCCACTGAGATGATCATTCACAATAAAGATGCCGCCCATGTTTCACCCCGGGGGRGGGGGGGGGGGCAGAGGATGTGACAACTAAATGACAGTCACTGCCGATGAGCTTGGCAAATCAACGGTGTCACACTTGAAGTACATCGCCGCAATAGTGACAAAGCAAGTTTGTCTTGGTCAGTGGGCCCGTCTGCACATTCAGGTCGTCAATCCGTGCCTCTGCTTTCCGATCTGGACTTCCGTCGTGCACCAAAGAAAAAGAAACTGCACAGGCACGAAATTGCATCATTTTCCTTGGCCCAGCCTCTTCCGTCTGGTAGGCCCAAGCCCCCAATGCTGTGGCGGGTTAACCACTGCCTCCAAGCAAAATAGCTGGGAAATGGTCTAACCATCAGTACCTCCGAGCCTTTTTTTTCCCCCGATGCGGATTTGCATTACGTGCCTGTTACAAACAAACTGCCAGCAACGCACTATTTTCTTTTATGGCTGGTGCCGCCACCCTTTTTGGTCCGGTAGCACTGTTCATTTGAAGACCCCGGATTGGAGACATCCGTTAAAATTGGAACGATACAGAGAAGATTAGCATGGCCCCTGCGCAAGGATCACACACATAAACCTAGAAACGGTCCAAAAAAAAAAAAAAAAAAAAAAAAAAAAAAAAAAAAAAAAAAAGCGACATACTGGTGGTTTAAGTATTGGTCCTTCCTGGTTCCACGAAAAGAGGCAGTGCAAAGCAACTCCACCCAGCATACAACAAAGAGAATTCGCAATAGGTCTACAAAGAGCAAGAAAGGGCAACAACAATGCTTACCAGCCCCTCCACAAGCTGATGTACACTCTCTATCTCCCTTCCAAATCTATCCAAGTCACTGCGCACCTCCATGACCTGCAATTCCCCCAAGTACGACACCATGTCCAGCACCATTATTGTATAAAGTCAGCTCTCCATGGAGACTTTCTGTGTCATCACAGCCTCTGTGAATGAAAAAAGTAACAGTACTGGTTTAAGTTCCATTTAACACCGTATGCATGGTACAACAGGTGAAGATACTTTTGTCAGACAGACACCTTACTCTTTTTTTTCTTTTTTTTTAATACAGGTATTACAGGGTCAATACTAATATAATATTGAATCATGCATTGTCAGCAGTTCAACGAGCAAACGTTATCAACTGCCATTGTTTCACCTTTTTTTTTTTTTTTTTTTAACCACCACGATGTCCGAGGCTGTTTCTTACAAGCCTCTGAAGCGTGCAGGAAAAAATAAAACGAACCAGCGCGGGCACTCCTCTTCTTCTTTTTGGCTGGCCTCAAAGGCCATTGTGCTCTGGCAGCCCTGCACCCCCGAAACTTGTGGGATATACTTTTACAGCTACAAGATTTGCCTGGGGCAAATAGCGTGGGAGTGATCTCTTAAACTCTTCCTTGATTTCCTGGCCCTCCCTTCGTCAGCACACTTCTGCATGTCCTTCTTGCCCTGATCGCGACCGGGATGCATTCGACTTCCAACAGTTGCATGAACCCTCCCAAGCCTGGGGCGACAGAATCTGCTTCTTGCCGAGTGTTTCCTTGGATCTTCTTTTCCAGATCACTCATAGTGCAAGAGAATGTACATTCACACCGCCCCCAGTTTTTCAGAACCAGGAAGCCCTTCGGTCCAATAAAAATATCCTACAGGGGGTCTTATTCGTTATAGACTCCCATAGCCTGGCCACCCTTCCCCAGATTTCCCTTGCATCGGGCCATGATAGAAGGCAGTGTGTCTAATGTCCTCCACTTCCCATGTCACATTTTGCACATACCTCTTTGATGCTACGCCGAGTTCCCGGGTCCTTCATTGATTCAACCATTGATTAACTGGAACAGGTAAATACGCAATTAGACATGCAACTTGATTCAAGGCTTCGTGCCCTACCATTCCCTATTCACAAGATAGAGCCTCTTTGGCACCCCTGCCATAGATGCTACTTCCTAAATGCTTCAAAGAAAAAGGAAAAAAAAAAAAAAAAAGAAGCACTTCCAAATGCTTCAACCATCTTCGATCTGTGATCTCTTCTCCTGCTACTGATCTGAGTCGGAGCGTGTAACCCAGCCTAGTGATCTACTTTAGAGGTTCTGGATAGGGGTTGATGGAGAAAAAAACGCCCCACCATATCTGTGCATTTCACAGCTCCACTGGAAATGCCCTCTGCCTCTACCAGACTCCTCATTCTCTACCATCCTGGCTTTGCGAACCAGGCGCTGCTTAACCGCCACCTGTGCAGCGCTTGTCTAAGCTCAGTGTGTGTTGCCCTTTTTTGAAGGTCATTGATCCGGAGGTGCTTTATGTGCCAGACTCCCTTCTGCAGTCAAGATCCCCAGCTGGTATACCTCCTCATCAGAATCCAGGGTCTGTCAGCCAGTGATTGCAGACACGTGAAGAGAATAGGGTGCCAATCAGAATGCACCCACCACAGACCAGGCAAATAAGATCGCATGGGTGAGTTGGGAATCTTATACACCTAGCGGTGGCTGTGCAGAGTTTAGAATTTGATTCCTTCCTTTTTTTTTTTGAATGGCAAAGGATTCCTTCCTTTTTCTTTTTCTTTATTATTATTATTTTTTAACAGGTCTTTATGGTCCTGGCTCCATACCATACTTGCAACCACACGAGCCGCACATTTGTGCGGAGTTCCGTGCGGGGGTGCCTGTGCGGAATCGTGCAGGTTTTTTATTTTTATTGTTATTATTTTATTTTTTTTTGGGAGGGGGAACGGGGGGCGTATGACAGGAAGATGGGGATATGGCGAGGAGAGGGGGATATGGAGAGGAGGAGGAGGATGTGGACGAGGAGGACGATGAGGATAGCGAGGACGAGGAGGAGGAGGAGTTGAGATGCGGGAGGAGAAGAGATGGACGGAGGGAAAAGAGGAAGGGCAGGAGGAGGAGGACGAGTGGAGGGAGGAGGAGACAAGGACGGCGAGGAAGGGGAGGACACGAGGAAGGGAAGTAGACGAGGAGGCATGGAAGATGAGGAAGTACGAGGAGGAGGAGGAGACAAGGAGGATGAGGAAGGGCAGGAGGAGGAGGACGAACAGCAGGAGGAGGAGGAGGAGGAGGAGACGAAAAGGAGAAGGGAGGAGGAGACATGGAGGATGAGGAAGGGGAGGAGGAGCAAGGTGAGGCAGTACTCCTGTAATTTATTATTTCATCTCACTTGTAATTTTGGAAGGGGGCCTCAAACGCACCGTTTCGACCCCGGCCCTTTTTTTTCTGAGGGGGGTGACGGGTCGTTCTCCGCACACGTCGTGCGCCGCACAGGATCGGTTGGGCGCGTGCGCCGCACGTAGGGAACCGCCCGCACGACGTGCGCTTGCATGTATGCTCCATACCCATTCTGGGGAGAGTCAGGCAAAGGATTCCTTCCTTTCCTCATCAGCAAGAGGATTCTCCCGTAACTGCGGTATAGTGTATTTAAAATCGAAGAGATGCATGTCAAAGAAACACGATAGATCAGGGATAATACAGAAGTTACATCAAATTGAGGTGGGAAAACCTCACAGATTGCACAGTATTTCTTTTTTTTTTTTAAATAGACGGTAAGTAAGTCGACTGCCCTGCTTAGTAATGAAATGAAAGATCTTAGATTGCCAAGGCGAATAGATAGTTGTGAATGAAATGCCATGCATGCCATCCGATTTCCCATTTGATCGTCTTGCCTGTTCCTTGATGATGCACTGCACTTCCATACTCTCATCCAAAGTCTTGTTTACATCTTCTAGTTTGGCAGTGAGTTGGCGCTTAGTGGCCTGCAGAAGTACAACGAGCAATGCAAGGTAAGTAAGCAGGGGCACTTAGCGGCCTGCATCAGTACAAAGGCAAGGCAAGGCAAAGCCAGCGGAGTCCACAAGCAATGCTGAAAATGTTCACATGATAGCAGGTAGAGAGACCACTGTGATCTACACAGAAAGAAATGGAAGGGTGCACCTGACTGTTAGCCAGCAATGCACACCCATGATTGTTGATTGATACATCACATTCTGCTGCAGTCCATTGATACGTCGCATTCTGCTGCACCCAGGAATAGAAGAACTTGGCAGTTTTACTGCAGAAACCGAGGTGTTAAGACCTGACTGTTCAAACCAACACATTAAGACCTGATATGCAGTAAACCTGCCAAGTCCTTCTATTCCTGGGTGCAGCAGTCCAGATCACTGTGAGTCTGGATGTATTCTCTCGCCTCGGTTTCTGCTGCCAGTGGTACGTCCTTCAGGACATCTGTCGGAATTGGAACGATACAGAGCAAAATAACATGGTCCCTATGAAAGGATGACACAGAAATCAAGAAATCCTCCTTCCCATTACTTTTAGGAGGAGGACCAAGGAAAAAACGACAGCAAACTCCGGGGGGGGAATACCTTGCACACGAAGGAATGCCACAACTCAAGGCGACATTGTACAGCCAACAAAGGTTGCACTCGAACAGATCAGAAGGCTTTGGATGTTCCACCCTCGAAGGATGTGGGGCGTAGGCATCGACTGTGTTGACTGTTTTCTTACGACTTGCCTGCGTTCTCCAGAAGACAAAAAGACCGGCAGGGAATGCATGAGAAAGGCTGCGGATGCGAGCCATGAACAAGTCAACTGTTTCTTTATGACTTACCTGCGTTCTCCAGAATGGCACAAGTCATACCTATACGGCTATGTTCCTTCCTATGAGCCGAAAAACGAAGGGAAACAGGAAAAAAGGAAGGACATGATCCAAAGATGAGGGAAGCTGCCCGTTCTGTGCCGCAAAAGCACATCGACAGGCACGAGAGAAGTGACAGTCGTGTGGCAACCACCAAGTACCCACGGCAACGAAACAGCAGGCTACTTCTGCAGCAAGGAAAGGAAGGTGATATCAGCAAGGATACTGATGACATACAAGGCCCTAATCTTCTGTGTCTGGTGACCATTGAAAGTTGGAAACTCTCTTTTTATCAATAGTGAATGTCTACCAGGTTTTCTAACTTTTCTTTTCCCCAGGACAATTTCACATAACATGCTTGGCAGCCCCTGATACGCTTTGCACATAAATTCAGAACTGAACACCGTATTCTCAAATTGTAAAAGGAGAAAAAAAAACACGACTGGCATCATGATGATACAGCGACATCCTTGGAAAGTAAATGCCGCAACTAACAGGACAATAACATTTTGTTCATGATATTAACAGCGTACACAACCTTCGGACATATGTAAGCAACACCACACCGTCTCAGGGCTTATTCGTACGAACAATCGAGTTCCCAGGGAATCGAGCACAGAGGAGGGGAGCGCAGAAGAGGAACTGGACTGATGCTCACTGGCATAGATAGATGGAGCCATGACTATACACCGTAGTATACAGCTACACTTTTTTCACTTTAAAGAGTCGCAAAAGGAAAAGAGGGGAAGCGAAAATGCAATGGTAAATACAGCTTTCTCGCACGAATGGAAGCATTATGAAATACCTGCAAAGCTGCAGTAACACTCTCCAGCTGTTTTGTGAAACTCGAAACTGCATTTGACATGCTGCGTTTTGTAACATACATCAGATCACCAAAGCAAAAGCCCTGACACGGGCACGGCAACAAGGTCGATCACAATCAGCAACATCACAAACCAACACTCTCAAAAAACAGTCTCCCCCACAACGGAAAAGCAAGTGCAGTAGCAGGATGACATCCTCCCACCAATGACAAGCAGCATAGTAAGACATGGGACGTCACCATAGAGGCAGCGCTGGTGCGGTATTGTGCAGCAAAATCCTGGACGCCTGAACAGTGCCTGGTAAGGAAGATAGTAAACACCATTGGGTGTCATAGCTGCATGATGACACAGTAGAGAAAGGAGAGCGGGCGAGGACATTCAGAGAGAGAATGAGAGACAGGTGTGCAGTAATACATAGGAGAGAGAGAGAGAGAGAGAGAGAGAGAGAGAGAGAGAGAGAGAGAGAGAGAGAGAGAGAGAGAGAGAGAGAATTACCTGCTTGTTCTCGATGGTGGCGGCTATGGCCACAAAGCTTTAGAAACCTCTGTACATTATTTCGAGTTGTGAAGGAGTTCTGAGTGTGCTCATATTATGTGAATCTTGTTCGCTTGGTGTGGATCTCGAGCCCCATGCATCAATTCAGTTCGAAGCAATAAAGATGTAATGAACCCAGACTTGTTGAGAAGCCAATCAGCAACGCAATAGAAGTCTGGACCCAGCGTGACTCATGAAGTCTCCAAGAATAATTACAAGTCCATGTCACTATTATGTGCACAATTCCAGAGTATCGTTTCGTCAAAGAAGAGCATGAGAGAATAGCAAGGGGAGAGAAAGGACAGAGAAGAGGAGGAGGAGAGTCTCAATGATAATCAATAATGCATGTATGTCTCCCTCTCTCCCACTCCCACTTCGGTCTTCTCCCCTACCGCCACCTCAGCAATGTGCATTCCTTCTAAGGTCCTCTGACATAATCGCTCTGCAGATCATCACAGCGCGCCCATTGGTCGCGCCAACATAACATCCCTCTATGCTGGCGCCCACCAGCAGCATCTGGCGCCAGCACACAGCTCCAGCAGTCTCGCCATACAACATTAGCATCAAGCCAGCACAAGGCCGAATGCCCTCCCCAGTGGCTGAGTAGACGTTTTATAGCGTTGACTCGCGTTGACCAGCCTCAGCGTCAAGTCAACTGATGGTCCAGATTGCCTGGAAGTCAAGGGCCTGGACCCAGCGCTGTCCTATCTTCTTGCTGAGTCCCAGACAGCGTTTGAGATGCATCTGATCGACGGCTCTGGTGGACTTTGACTTTGGGCCTGGAATCCCGTGCTGGGTTTGACTCTTGATTTTCCAAGCGCCAACTGTCTCACGTTAGGGTAGTGGACACAGCTTTTGACTCAGACGCTGGTACCACTTGACCCTAGGCACTTTCTCAGACATTTCTCAGCCTTGGGACGTGACTTTTGACCCCTGTTACTGGCCTTTGACCAAACAGGACGACCCTTGCTCGTGTCTGTGCGGATCTGAACTTAGTTTATTACAAAGCCAAGAAAACAAGATCTTTTTCAGTAAAGGGAGGGACTTTTCAGAGTTCTTTGTAAGCACTAGGATAGGGAAGAAAGAGAATCCCTTTTGCCCCACTTTCACATTTCGAGTTGCCAGGAGGCCGCAACAATATGTTATCAGCAACATATCACCGCACCATGTCATTACTCTTTCTTATTCAACTCTCTCTGAACTTTGTGGTCCTCATTTAAACAGTGAAGGCTGAAGTTACACGTGAGACTTGAAAGTCAGGTAATCAGCAATGTGGGGCAGAGCGCACCTTCCACCGAAGGTAGGCATATGTGCCAGCACCAATGACAGCCAACGGGACCGAGTATGAGAGTAAGCTTCCTGCACATGAAAATTGACACGTTAAAACCATCAGTCAGCCTCCGATGACAGCAGTTGAACTACCAAGCAGAGCTCTACCCGCTTCATGAACAAAACTATTGCAATTCAGCCAGGGTTGCACCCCCCGATGGTCGGCGGCCCTTGACTGGTCGGCTGCCGACCCGCCGACCAATCGGCTGGTCGACACCTACCGGTCGGGGGTCGTCGGCACCCCACAAAAAACAAAAGGGGTCCAGAACCCCTAATAACACACCACCAACACTGTGACGAGGAAGAAGGCAGAGCAGCAAGGCTGGGAGAGAGAGGGAGAGTGAGAGCACACACACACGCTCACTCAACTCAACGGACGCAAACACAAGGTGTCAAAGTCGCAAAGTCGCAGACTTCAATTTCCGAACACCATGTCGAAGCAAAGTCACACTGAACACAAGCACTGAGACTGAAAATTTCTGTGTCCGTACTGTGCTTGAGTCCGTACTCAAGTACCAGACTCGAGTACGGTCCTGTGGGCGAAAGTGAAAATGCCTCAGGGCCAGAACTGAAAATTGAAAGTCTGAGAGTGGGTGCCAGAATGCCGGATGGCGCCAAGTGTCCGGAATTGGAACGTCCAAAAAGAAGGAATTTAAAAACGGGCGCCAGAATGCAGATGGTGCCAACTGTTGGAAATAGGAAAAGCAAAGACAAAGTAAAACAAAACAAAAGAATTGCAAAAACAACTAGGCTACCAGCCGGGCCACCCGGGTCACCCTAATTTCCCGGACGGCCCGGCCATGCAAGGACCAGTGAAGTCTTTAGCAAAAAAAAAAAACTATGTTATGTCAGTTATGCAGAAAATAAACTGACCAACTTTTGCCTCTGGGTCGCATCGAAATTCTTTACCATATTTAAAAGTTAAAACAAAAAATAAATTATTAAATTATTATATTATTTTTTTTGTTTTTGTTTTTGGCCCGGCCGGGCAAGTGGCCCCGGGCCACTCTGGTAGCCAAGAAAAACAAACAAATAAATACAGCAAGCTGGTGGATGGGAATCCGCAGACCAGGGATCGAGACCTGGCGCAGTCTGTAACAAATACCCCCATAGCGACCCCCAATACCCCCTATATCACCCCTATACCCCCCGATACCCCCCCTATACTCCAACCCCACCCCCCCCATAACCCCCCCAACCCCAAAAGTTTCTCATCGGATTTGGGCTGTACTCAGCAACCGCAGTACAGCCCCCCACTCAGATTTGAAAAAAAATCAGTGGATGATCGTTTTCTGACTGGTCGGCAGACCGCCAACCGGTCGGCCCTACTGGTCGGCTGCAATACGGTCGGCGGTCGGGGTCGGCGGGGATGCAACCCTGAATTCAGCACCATTGATGGAATAGAAAGAACAACCGTGTAGATGCTTACAAACAGGAAATCACTGAAAGATGTGCAGCAGATTCAGATGGGGAATAAAGCAAAACAAAGTCCCAAAAAGAGGTATTTTACGCATACAATGGCCATATCATCTCACAAACGGCAATGCCTTGACATAGGCAATATGGATGGCCTCCGATCCCAGACGGCTTTTGTTTGACTCCATGCAGTCAACTACAAGGACGGCTCGGTCATAGTCCCCGGTGTACATACAGCCTTTTTGGACCTTTTTCGTTGGTGTTTGTTAGCGAGCTCTGTAACCAGCATATTGCTCAATGGGAAAGTGTCCTTGGAAGCCCAGAGTTGTGTTTATCCACTCCCATTGACATCGAGCGTTGTTCACGCCAGGCCGATCAAGAAAGACAGCTGAAGGACAGGTAGACCCCGGCAGAGTGGCGCAGGGTCCAGGGAATAGGCCTGCAGAAGGAGTGAACGAGAGGAGGACAAGAGAAAAAACAAGAACGGGCCATACAAGGTTGAGAAAGGGACGCAGGTTGTGAAAAGTGCATGAGGAATCAGAAGAACACAGGGAACTGAAAGACGCCGAGAGAAGGGAGCCAGATTCTGGAGCCACGAAGCAGACCGTAACCAGACACTCAGCACCATGAGACTTTTGCAAACGCTGGGTAGCATGTGACCCCTTTTTTTTTTCCCTTTTCTTAATTTAAAAGACAGTCTTCTCCTCATATGGTGGACAGCTTCCATTTATGTATGTATATATATATGATGGACGCCCGGCCGGAACCTCAGTCTTCTCCTCATATGGTGGACAGCTTCCATTTATGTATGTATATATATATGATGGACGCCCGGCCAGAACCTCCCATGGTTATAGATAGGAGCCAATCTAACACTGCCTCTGCTCAGAACGGGGAGCAGTACCCAGGCCTCTCTAACACCTGGTGCGAGATGGAAAGGACCCCACTTCCACAGCAAGTCAGGAGGACCAAGCCGTCTATCTCCGCTGGTGAGCCCTAAGCTTGCCACAGGGGGCCGCGACGAGTCGAAAGGACGGCATGGGGAATCGGTCCATGACCTCCTGAATGCCACTTATGTGCTGAACCGACTGAGCTAGGCCCGTCGGCCGTAGTATGTTCTCCTGATTTCCATGAAGCATCAAGTTTTTCAGGGACCGTGTCTATTGGTGCATTCAACAGCAGTGTATATGCAGGGCAGTTTTGGGGATATCAGGCGGCGCATGTGCAACCCTTCGCTGGGAGAAATAACGTGTGAAATGCTTCCAGGAAAGCCCAAGAATCCATTGTGCACATGATACGTCACACGGGAGAAACCGTTTCCAAATGGCTTCACCTCGTTGGACTCTGTTTCAAGGGAGCTAGCGGATTTCTCCAGCAGAGAACAGAGTGAAACATCCAACAGCACCGAACAATTGAATGATCATGGACATCAATATTGGGAGGTCCGTTGCAGTTTTTCTGGGCAGTACAGTGAGTGTTGCATACACTCAGAATACACAGAGTGAGGAGAGTGATACAGCTTTTTGAACCTTTTCTCTCCTCATGGAACCCTCTCAACACAAAGAAGGCATACCTCGTTGGACTCACATCTGGCTCGGCAAAAGGAGATAGAAAACACAGAGCCACGTTAGACATACCAACACCTGCGCATGCCCAAACTGACTGATTGTCCGCTGAAGAAGAATATGGAAGGTAGTATGTCAGTAACGCAACTGCCACTGGGGGAACACGTCCGTGCGCTACTGGGACATCTGCATATTCCTCTTGTAATACAAAACTACTGTGTGAATAGTTTTGGACTTGGGGAACATTGTACGCCACTTGACACTTCCTTTTTCAATCTTTCTTCTATTGGAAAGAATAAAAAGAATGGTGACGGCCTTGAGATATTGTCATTGAACGGACCGACACCAGGTAATTCAGAATTATGTTATTCTATACGTCTGGTAGCATCTGGATTCGGACTTGGGTCTGTGTTTCAACGATCCACTTGTGTACCAGCTGAACTAGGCCTGTTGGTTTCTGCATTTCTAACCCACAGTAGTTCTGCTTCTCGGCTCAGATGTGCGTCCAAAGAGGATAGTCTCTGATTGTCCATATGTGTGGAACCCTCCCTCCCATCTTAGCAGCTGTGAATTTGTTTGCATCTCAGGTGCAGAAGGGAGCGCAGATTCGTCTTATTGCGCAGCATGCATCTCCACCCTAAGTCTGTCCACGGGTCGAGACCTCTGCATCCAGGGCCTCCTGCAATTTCCTCCATATTTCAGCTAAGCACTTGTCCTGCAGCATCAGCAGGCACTTCCTTTACTCAGTTTGCATCTGAGGGCCATACGCCTACTTGTTCAGCTAGCCCATACAGGGCTGGACATCAGTCTCAAATCGCGACCACAGGTGGGCATAGGCCCGGGTGGAGACCCACCAAAGTCCTTCACCGCTGCCGTATTTCAATCACATAAGCGAGGATAAGGGCCAAACAACAGAGGGCGCGCATGGCAGGAATGGGCCCTCGTCATTGGCAGCACAATGGATGGGTGCTGAGCAGGCCTGCGAGAAGTGATCCAGGAGGTAGACGAGTGGCCATAGCGTATGTGGTTGGTTGAAGAAGGTCATCAGTGGGATACAAGGCGTCCAGTAGCAGATTGAGTCCAGGTTTGTAGAAGGCTGGCAGGTGGTCAGAAACAGGTTAGCAGAAGGCGAGGCGGAGATTACGGAGATACTAACAGGCTAGGAGGTTCATGGAAGGTTAAGACGAGATTGGGACAAACTTTGTGGCTCAGAGAGAGGTCAGCAGGAGGTAAGTGGGTGGTCAGGAGGAGGTTAGTAACAGGCCAGTAGGAGTTGATGAAGAGGAGGACCGGAAGGTCAAGAGAAGATTCAAGAGTAGGTTGTTATTGTTGCCACTCCTAGTCACGTATAATTCGAGCATATACACTGTCACCCAAGGAATGATTGCGCACTTTCGCATCTCCATAATAATCACGTGTATCAGTGACGCGAGGACTGAGATTTCTTCTTCTTCTTCTTCTTCTTCGTTGGACTGAGATTTCCAAACCATCTCCTTTCCAGAAAGCAGAAGCTGTCCTTGCTAGAGTGTCAGGTTCAGTTTAGTCATCAGACGACCATGCACAAAATTCATCCATGGGAAAGACAGCGCTGTAGGACCCAGCTTCTATCGACATAACACGAGAAGTTAACAAAGTGTTAGCGGGTGAAGGCTAGGCGAAGGAAGGCTGCTTGTAAATGAGAAGAGAGGAGCAGTCGTCCAAATCCGGGTTCAAATTCAGCACAGAAATGTCTGAGACAAGTCTGGTTGTCCCAAACAGGTCCGCAAGGTCCAGGAATCAGTCCAGCTGGCCTTCAGCCCAGTAGAATCTGGTCCAGTCCGTGCCTTGGATCAAGAATATTGCAAAAGAGTGACGGGCCCAAGCCACAAATGAGGCTGAAAGCGCATGGGAAATCGGGAACAAGTCCTTACATCTTTCTATTTTGTTTTTGTGTTGTCCTTTTTTTTTCTCGACTTAATGCACGCTCCGCGCCCTCCTCCGTTGTGGTCGACGAATTTGGCTGAAGTGACGTCCAAATTCTGGGGTCAGGAATCGCTAACACAGGGACTATCTGAGAAGGCCTTAGTAATCGGAAGGACTGGAGTCCAGGGTGAAAACGAGCTGTACAGGGCCTGAAAAGGTCAACTCAGGCCTCAGACAGTACCCCAGCAGAGAAGTCAGAGAGTCGAAGATTTCCCCAGAGATCGTAACTTTAGCTGAAGTCAAAATTATGGGATCAAAATGCGCTAAACAGGGCCTTGGAACATATCTGAGAAGGCCTTAGGTTGGAAGGACTGCAGTCCGCGGTTCAAAAGAGATGTACGGGGCCTGAAAAGGTCAACTCAAACAGACACTACCAAGAGTCAAAGATTTCCCCAGAGTCAACCACCACCAGAGATCACAGACAATCCAGAGGCTCGCTCAGCAACAGTTTCCGAAAGCTCCCATGGCTCACTGGATCAGGGCATAGACTGGCAGCGACAAATTCCAGGCCATCAAGATCAAGAAATCTCAGCCACCCAAGGGTGAAACCTGTGTCTCTCGACGCTACAAAATCTGGGCCTACCCCAGAAAGTTAATGCATTCTGGCTTGCACTTGCTGAGCACTCCTGGGAGCCGTTGTGTTAGAGTTGTGAAGAGAAGACAGACAGAGAGTGTGAGGCTGCCATGGCTAGAGTGAGACAGAGTGGTAGCCACAGCCACTGGGAGGTGCCGAATCACCATAGAGAGTAAGAGAAGCAGAGAGAGGTTGGAGAGTGTTCAGCCGCAGGTCCTACAAGAAGAACCCGCAAGGTGCCACTCGTGTGGGTTAAGTGAATTCCTGAAGTTGCAAACTAATGCGTGGAATTTGCGACCGAAGTGTGGACGTAGGTATTTTTTTGGAAAGAGACATGTAACTTGGGATAAGACATGCAGAAAAAGAATGAGGGGAAAGGGATGTCAATGTCGCAAGAATGCTAACCTGGATGTTGTTGATGTTGTGTCCCCCCTATTGCAGCATCGACAAAAAACAGGTTAGTGGAAATTGAAACCGAAGGCAAACCCTGGACCACACTGGCCTACACAGAATCAGGCAGCTGCCAGCAATCCGCTCGCCCAGCAACATGCAGGGCTTGTCTTGGATTATGTCCAAGTTGTGGGCAGGGAGAAGGGAGGCAGGAGCATATCAAGGGCAGCACCAGGGCCAGAGGCGAGTGGGCAACAGAGAGAGAAGAAGACCCCAAAAGGAAAACAGCGAGGACCACTCTCTCTCAACACTTCATCAAGTTGGCCCTTGTAGACCAAGCAGACCACTTTCATTGGATATCCCATGGTGTAATAACCCGCTCAAAATATGCTATATTGTCATCGGCCAGGGACCGCCCACAGGCCACAGCAAGGCCCTGCGCCAGACTGTATCCAAACAAGGCCCCAAAACGAGGCTTCAGAGGCCCTGCACCGACAGTTGACCGAAGAAAGTCAATAGTCAGCTGTAGCTCGGAAATTGAGGCTCACGAGTCAAAGTCTGCACGGACCCAGTCCAGGCCACAGATCAGACACACACAGTTGGCTGTAAGCACGTATCCAGGCAGAATCTGGTCCAAGTGGAAGTCTGCAACTGTATGAGATCCAGGCCATTGACTACGGGCCAATCTGAGCCCCCGTATCCGAGAGACCAGAGGCTGGTCAATCTGCGTCAACAGTACATATTGGCCCAGCCCCTGCTCATTGACATTCAGTCTTGCGCTTGCTCCTCGGCGCTGGCACGACGCTGACTGGACGCTGGCTCGACGCTGGCACTACGCTGGCATTGTGTGTGACTACAGCGCGAGACTGCTGCATTGTGTTGCTGGCGCCTCTCTGTTCTTGGTGCCAGCTGGGGACTTGATTGCTGACGTAGCGCTTGCCACATTGACTTCGACACAGATTGGGGTATCGACGAGGAGGGAGATCCGGGCTGTGAGATTGGTAGTGAGAGAGAGACAAGCTTACCTGATTATTGTCGTCAACATTGCACGCTGCTGTGACGTCTTCATAGGAGATCTGTGCCTACGTGGCACTATGTTGTGATCGGCTCTCGCCAGGCTCGTCTTTGGGATACTGTATGCTGACGATGATGCCCAAAGGAGTGGGACATGAGGGAGATCTATATTTGATGACATTGATGGATGCTCTCTCTTCCACCCTCTAAGTCTTATCTCCCTCCTATCAGCTTCGTCCTTTGGTTATGAGACATTGTACTCCGGATCACATTCGTGATTATTGGAGACATTGACATGCGCTGAGACATCTTGTACTTCAACATTGACGAGTTTCTCTCCTGACTGGGTTCATTACAATGGACTCGATGAATGTCACGCTGATCAGCAAGCTAACCCTGCAGTCCCTGCTGCATGATTTGAAATGACCCTGCCTTCCCTCTCATTGACTACTGTATCAGTTGACAAAAACAACCCTGTTTCAATCCGCAATCAGAGTCCGCAAGGGAAAAGGACAAACATCCTGGAAACTGAAGACCATGCAAGGGTCTGCTACATTTGACAAAAAAGAGGGAAAAACAGAGCAGCCTACAGAAGTCATTTGCGCACCAGCTGCTCCATGCGAGGCATGTACAACAGTGACGTTCCGACTTGTTGCTGCTGCAAGCTGTCTCATCTCCTGTGTCAGTCTGCGCACCTGAGTAGAATATAAAAAATTGATACAAGAAGACAACACAGAGTATTATTAAGCCGGACTTTTTCCCAAGCCGCATAATAGCAAATAACACAGACAATGCACTCGTGAGTTAGCATTATCCATTCTCATGGTTTCTGCTTTTCATTCTTCGGTAGTTGACCTGTTGCTGCTTCAATCCTGAGGAAAGAGGTGTCAAAGAACTCGTGTAAGGGATGGAAGCTTTCTTTTCTGGTGATTTTTACCTGTTATTCCCGCCCAACACATGATCTGCCTTTCCTCTTCCTCCTCCTCCCCTCACCTCCTCCTCTTGCTACCTCCTCTTACTCCTTCCATCATCCCTCTCCCCCTTCTCTTACACTGCTCTTTATGCACTTCCGGAATATATTTGTCCAGTGGGCAGAAAGAAAACTGCACATGTATGTCACTACGGCCCACTACTGCTCCTTCTCTTTACAATTCCCAGGCGCCTTCCAACCTTCTGCTCTTTGATCTCTGGCTCCTTGCATTCAACCCCACACGGTGGGAAAAAAAAACACATCACCAGGGAGGGAAAGAAGTCGTTCCTCATAATCCTCCTCCTGTCATTCCCCCCTTCCCCCACCTTTTCTACCGCCCTGCCATTTGCCCCCTTTCATAATGTGTCCAATCGTTGTCACTCTTTCCCACTGCTCTCCTCAGGGAATCATCTTCCATCCTCCTGTTCATGACCTTCAGCCATCAGCTACTGCCCTTCTGTATGTGGCATTGCTTTTTGATTCATAAGGAATACTCGTCTCCACCTCTCAATCCCCTTCTACCTCTTCTTCTCACTGCTTCGCATGCACATCCACAATCTGTTCCTCAGGGGAGAAAGAAAAGAAAAAAAAAAAATGATTGAGATGTAAGTCAGTGCTCCTTCCCAGTGCTCTCCCTCCACCCATCATCTTCTGCCCTGTTATTTTCGATATGGTTTCCATGATCTATTTGTGATGTACTCATGTTCCTCCTCTTAAACCACCAGTACGTTCCCCCGCTTGAAAATCAAATATGCGGCTCGTATACAGCTGCAAATTTCTGGGATCGGGGAAGGCCCGGTAATACAACAGCGGAGGAAGCCAGTGGGCCTAAGGAAAAGGGCCTAATGGACTGCAAGATGCCCTGCTGGTTTATGCCATGCATGCGTCTCCACACACAATGACACTGTAGGCAGTGACATGAAAAAAAAAGAAACATTTCAGGGCATTTTTACGCTAGCACTTTCCCGAATGCATATGGCCGCAGTTATGGCCAGCCCTGGGTGAATCTGAAGACAATAAGGTTCTGCAGGAGAATTTCCGTTTTCCCGTTTGTTTTCCTCTTTTTCTTTTTGTACGAAGAAGACTCTTGGCTGTTTCTGATGCGACTCCCCATGAAACACAGGGAGCAATCGAGTGCCTGCCAGCTCTTTCCATTGAGGGCATTCATTCTACTTAGCACTTCTTTTAAGAACGTATCTGACCGCACTTGTGTCCCACCGTGGATGAATCTAAAGGCAATCGCGCTCAGAGCTTGGTATGCCTTTTTTCCTTTTTCTTTTCTTTTCTTTTTTTTTTCTAGGACAAAGAATCTCGGCTGTTTCTTGTGCGACTCCTGTGAGAGACGGGGAGCAACCAAGTGCCTGCCAGCCCCTCACATCTCAGGGCAGTCTCACGCTAGCACTTTCCAGAATGTACCTGACCGCATGGATGAATCTGAACGCAATCACGTTCAGAGCTTAGAATGTCATTTTTCTTCCGTTTTTATTATTTTTCACAAGAAAGAAGAACCTCGGCTGTTTCTGATGTGAGTCCCCGTGAGAGGCGGGGAGCAATTTATTCCCTGTCAGTCCCTTTCATTTCAGGCCATTCTCACGCAGCTCTTTCCAGAATGTACCGGACCGCATGGATGAACCTGACGGCAATCATGTTCAGAGCTTAGAATGTCGTGTTTCCTCCCTCTTTTTTTTTTTTCTTAGCAAGAAAGAAGAATCTCGGCTGTTTCTGATGCGAGTCCCCAGAAGCGGCGGAGAGCAATCTATTGCCTGTCAGTCCCCCTTTCATTCCAGGGCATTCTCAAGCAGCTCTTTCCAGAATGTATCTGACTGCACTTCTGGCCAGGCCTGGGGTGGTACATGAGTGAAAACAAGAAATCATAAAACGACTCCAGCATTTCGTTCCAGCTGCTGGCAGCAGGTCCAGCATAAGGGGTGGTACCGGTGCCAACCAACAAATTTCCCCTACCGGTTCCGCCCCCTCCAGGCTCGGCAAAGCTTGGCGCGCAGGCCATTTTCAGGCTCGGCATGAATTCCTGGGCAAAGTACTAGTGGTTTAATCCCCTGCCCCTCCTCCTCCACCTTGCTCTTCAGGAATCTTTACCCTGCTGTTTCCCATCTGGCTTCAGGAATCTCTACCCATTCTCGTCCTTCCCTCAACTCACATTCCCTCCTCTTTCACCATGCTCTTTGTGCACTCCCATCAGTTTCCGGAGGTCCGGGGGAGAAAAAAAAAAAAAAAAAAAAAAATCCTGCAGAAGTTGCTACTTCGTTCTCCAACTCCTCTTCCCTCGCTGATTCTCCTTATTATCTTTCACCCCTGCAGTCCCCACATTTTCCATCCTCCCATTCGTGATCATCAGCTCTCTACATTCTACCAACCACAGGGGGGGGGGAAGCACAAAAAAGTCATTACTGGCGGGGTTGGGTGGGAAGCTCTGTGAGCCCCTCCCCCTCTTCTGTCCGTCATCCCCCTCACCATCTTCTTTCACCATGCTATTCGAGAGATTTCACAATCTGTTTGCCAAGGTGCAAAAAAAAAAAAAAACATCAGCATGTAAGAGCCTAATTCTCCCTGCTGCTCATCCTCCCTCCATCCACATCGAGTGGCTACTGTGCCCCACAGCTCCTCCCTTGTCCTCCCTCCCTCATCCACCTTCCCACTTGTGAAGGACGGTGTGACCAACCAAGCACATGTAATGAAACAATCGATCACACGAGGGATAACCGCGCATGCCGCACATAACCAACCACACAAAGTACGTCAAGCAAGTGGCACATGACCGAGCACATCTGACAAAACAAAGATGCAACCAACAATGTAGGTTGAAGCCATTGGTCACGAAGGACATAAACCAAGTCACATGTAACCAACGCATTGAACAGTGTAACCAATCAAATACATTCCGCAAACCAATCGGCCGCATGTCGCAAGTTCACATGTCCACCAAGCCAAGCATGATCGATTGCGGGCAACCGAGAAGCAAGCACGGGAAGAAGCTCAACGTTTGCTTGGACTGAACATTCAAAAAGCAGCAGGCAGCGGGAAGAGGACAGGGCAGAGCCCTTGCACAGGGAGACATGCATGGGCATGGGCGTGGGCTGGGGGGTGACAGATGGGGTGAGAGAAGGAGGGGCAAGGTAAAAAAGCCGTTGAGGCTGCAGAGCAGTAACGGGCCATCATGCAGGGAGACGCAACCGTGTGGGCATGGGGTCAAAGGGGAGGTGACCAAAGGACGAAGGGAGGGGCAGGGGAAGGGAGGAAGGGGCGAAAGGAGAGAGGAAGGTATCTCTCTGGCAACATGCAAGAGGACTATCTCCAAGGTTCAGGGCGGAGAGGAGGGGGAGGAAGGGGGGAGGAAGGGGGGAGGAAGGGGGGAGGAAAGGGGCAGGGGGGGCTCGGGTGCACATTGCCATGCATGTGGCAATGCACGGCACCGCAGAAAGTTGGAAAAGTTGGGTTGCAGCAAGCTCCCACACGCATGATACGGGGGTCGCAACTACTCGGAACCTTGTTATATGTTTGTTTTTTTTTCTTTGTTGTAGCGTCTGTGCATTCCGGATAGTTCGTATCGAACTTCGGCCGGACCACCGGTCCCCTCCACCAAACAGCCATGGTTTTGGCCGACGGCTGTCCACCTGATCACCACAATCTGGCATGTCCCGTAGCATCGACTGCCGTTACCACTTGCAACTTCATTTCTCAGCTATGAACTTCGCAATTTCTGTTTGTCACAATGTGGACTAGTCACGAGAAACCAGCCCCCAAATTTTTCCCACATTGGGGATTATTGGACTCCGTTGTAAAATCTCTCGCATAATCTGGCATTTCTGGGCTCCTCCCTTTTTTTCCCTCCACCCTTCCACCCTGCTTCCCTAGTCTAACCCGCCCCAAGTCAAGGTATACTTCAGCTCATCTCACAGAGCAAAATGCCCACCTGGTTCACACTCAATCGCAGCGCGACATTCATTCAATTCCTTCGCTCTGTGCAACCAAAATACCGTACAGCCGATAAGACCCTCCCTTCTACAAACCAAATGCTCTTCTCTCAATAATTCCTTCATCGTGAGCCCGGAAGAGGCATCTTGTCCCGCCCCACAGTCCCAGATTTGTTTTGCCACGCCTGATTTTCTCTGTGCTTCTTTTGCCCACCCCCAGCCTAGGCTGTACAGTTCTAAACTTCCCCTGCCTCGTGATTTACATCCACTACATCGGTCCTTTTATGGCATCTGTTACGTTGGCGTGACACAGAAATAAACTCTTACATGCACAATTAAAGAAGCACCAAATTAAAATCCATTTAGCAAGAAGAGAAGAGAAGAGAAAACTGTTTGTCAACTTATTCTCACAATCCTCTGAAGATGTGAATCGGGACCGCATACAAGAAACACACCTGCTGCGTCAGCTGTGCCGTAAGCTGGTCCTGTACTTGGCCCCCCACCTCAACATTGATCTCGCCCTTTTCCCTTAGGTGTTTCATAAGGACCTGCTACAAACAATAGCCAAGTCGTTAATCGAGGTGCTCAGTACACAAGGCAGAACGAAAGAGCCATTCTTCAATCAAACAGATCAATCTTCACCACAGAATTCACATCCTGTATGTTATTTTTCTATGAGAACCAGTAAAAATGAAAGAGGGAGTTCAGTGTATCGTATACGTCTGACAGATCAGATTGCATGTGAGGATTTCTTAAGACTGCTTCAGCAACCAAGGTAGAGGCACCACCATACGGGCTAGAAGGGCTGCTCTCGAACCTGGTTAAGGATAATAAGTGAGAAGTCCAGACCTTTTATGGACATCTATAAACCCTCGACCCACCTCTCCTTTGTCCCATTGTTGCCAGAGCTGGCAGTAGGCATGAACCATTTGCCAGATGATACACTGATCGGTCTGATGGTTCATCCATTGAACCTCCTATGGCAGTGAGTTCATGTTTCAGTCTAACGGAACTATGGGGAGGAAGTGCAATTACATTAAGACTGAAGCCATAGATCTTCAGAGGATAGACGTATGACTCTTGGACTGGAACCATGCAGACACAAGCATCTCGGTGGAGCGACTCTTACACAGCCATTTGCTGGGCAGCATGTTTGCTCGAGCAGAACTACTTCATGGCATTGTTTACCACAAGCGCGCACAGCTCTTTCTTGTTACAGCCCTGGATTCCTTTTGTCCATCCATGTGCACACACAGCACTTTCTTCTCCACTCATGCACACACAGCACCTTTTCCACTCCTACTGTGTATGCTAACAACCCCTCATCACCATTCTTCCCTCTTTTCATTTTTCCCCCAGCTTAGAACCTTCCTCATTTTTTTAACTTCTACGCCCCCCCCCCCCCCCCCCCCCCCCCTCTCTCTTTCTGCATACATGTGCTGACAACCCCGCACCACTGTTCTTGTCTTTTCTTCTTTTTGCCTCCTTACACCTTTGGACCACAATCACCTACGCCACCCTATCTCTGTACGTTGTTATGATCCTACATCATCCATGATGCAAAACTCAAATGTGAGGAAAAGCAACACTTGCTAAAAAAGAAGTGAGGAGGCATAAAGAGCTGAACAGAATGAAGAGGATATACAAGAGGAACAATTACACAAGTTGGAACCAATTCCCGTCTTATCTTCTCCCTTTCTCCTCCTCTTCCAAGAACCAATTAATTAAAACAACAAAAGTGAACGAGCGAACAGGAATCATGTTCCCGTATTCCCTCCTCACTGCCAGCAGTGAAAGAGCTCTCCTTTCAACGTCACTCTCACTTCTCTCCTCCCAGTTGCATATCTAGCTATGGCGGCTCATCCATGTCCATCATGGATGTTCAAAGGACAACACAACTACTATTGTGCCCCTCCCATCTCAGTCCCCCATAGCCAGGCTCGCAAATGATGTCCAAGACCAGTCGGTACCCAGTACTACCCACACAGGGGCCTCCTAGATGCAGCAGCAACAAAGGAAGTGGAGATGAAGGTTTCCCTCAGCCGAAGGTAAGTCTCCCATGTCCGTTCCTTCCTCCTTCGCTGCCTCAACCTCTCCTCTCATCCTCTACCCCGCTTCATAGCCTACCTTGAGGTCCTTCACCCTTAGACTTTATCTTCATCTCTTGTGATTGAGAAATGAGAGATGGACTTTCTTCTTTCTCTCTCCAGATATAATTGAGTCTAGAGAGTGGGTAAGTAAACGAGATAATACGCTGCCGGCCAAATCCAACCATCCCAGCTCTTATCTAGCTGAACCCTTAGCTAATGGGAATTGAAAATTGACGATGGCCCGGTGCGATTGTCCATCTCCAATAACAAGTTCTCGTTGACCACGACCCATTGGAAAAAGGCTATCCACCGCTTTTAACCTCCATAGCATACGCCTACCCCCTACTACTACGATAGTAGTCCTCCATAGCCATGGAGGTATTCTTCTTCACCCTCCAGCTCCACCACTCAGCAAGAGCTCCACCTAACTTGACCCTCTGGACCGAGCAGCCACATGACCGCCTCACTCATTGCTGCCAGATGATATACTCTTGCAACTCGGTGTCCAGCATCCATTGGCCGGGATACTACTGCCTCTTCCAGAGTGCTAGGCCCGCCGGGGGTTCCTGCCTTTGGCCGGAAGCATCATTGCACTCTGCAGTTCAGCTACCGGACCTGCATCTAACCTAAAAGCTACCTGAATACGTGCCTGCTGGACCTACCTGAGCCAACTGGGCTTCACTTGGGCCTGCCCGAGTTGCTGGAAAATCCCTACCAGGTTCTGGCCAAATTCTAAACTTGCCCTCATCCGTCCTAGCCTTCTACTAAGTCGGTTTGGTGTTCAATTTCAGTCCTACCCCTGTAGTTCCCCTACTTTCAATCTACCCCTTCCCGGGACACAGAAAAGACAGTGCGAGAACACAGTTAGCACAGGGGATAGCTATCATCGCACAGGGGCTTCGACACATGCAAGCACACCGCAATCTCGCTAAGGACAACGAAAACTCAGCAAATCGAAAAACAAGCAGCAATATTCAGAAATCTAAACAACTCTCAACCTGATTCTGTGAGGAAATGCATCACAACACTTAATTTTGACTTGCAAGCTCACACCGCAGGACGCCGAGAGAGTACCACACCCCTCGAAACGACCCCGGTGCAAATACTCCACACAATTAGCCCACCCTTCAACCATTTCCGGAACACGTCAACAACCGCAGCACAAAGCAAAAGCAGAGGTCACGGCCCGTTACGTCACACATGCACCCAGGACTTCCCGGCGTATCAGAGGTCGTCACGGCCCATGCATGACAAATAATCATCAAGAAGAGAGACAGATGAAACAGGCCTTAAAAACAACCAAGAAGGTCACTTCTCGGGGCAGAAAAAGATGGGCCGGAGAGCCAAGAAAAAAGCCGGAGAGCCAAGAACTTCCAACCCCTCAGTATCCCCATGGCCGAGAAGAGGCAGGACACCTTGTGCCCTACAACAGAAAGAGAGTGACTGATTACCCCAGAACCACATAGCTCATGCACCAGCTGTGCCCCACACCAGAAAGAGAGTTGCTGATATTACCAGAACCACATAGCTCCAGCGCCAGCTGTCTGCCCACGGAGAGCAGGCGGAGGTAGGCATGGGCAGGAACAAAGGAAGGCAAAATAGGAGAGGTGCACTTCCGGTGGGAGCGAATTTTTTCTGGCCAATGACCACCAAACTCGTGGTGTATGCTCTCAGCTCAAAACTCAGACAAACCTCTTCTGGCGTCCATACATCGAGAATCCTTCGTTCAATTGATTTTTGCACCAGGATGGTCTTACTTAGCAAGCCAAGGCAAGTGTCACAGCATGCCCCTTGGTATCATCCAAAGCCACCTACTGCCATCATCCACAAGAGGATTGAGCTGCGGTATAATACCTTTACAATGTCGGCAACAATCTCAGATATGCTGGTGCCTCCATTCATTATCATCGAACCCGTAACACCTGATCCACCAAAACAAATGCACGCAAACAAACAAGCAAACCATACATGGAGATGGAGAAAGCACAGCATTATTATTGCACGAAACGAATTTTATTTACCAGCCCCATATCAAACCCCTATTTTCGCAGACAGACTTATCCACCAACCATTTCCACAAGAAGGGTATTGCAGAGAAAAACATTACGAAATCAGGGCCAGGGACGACAGCCCCTCTGCGAGCTTCTGACTATGGCATCCTTTTGATGAGCTGGCAATTTCGCAGATATCCTTTGGCCAACGCAACGTAAACCATCCAAAAAGCAGGCTTTACCACATAACGCCATTGGATTGAGAACCAACTCCTCAACAAGCACCATGCCCCATTTCCAATGACCATGCATCTTTATTAGACATGGCCCTCACAGCCATGCCCCATTTCCAATCATCCATCTTATTAGACATGGCCCTCACAGCCATGCCCCATTTCCAATCATGCATCTTATTAGACATGGCCCTCATAGGCATGCCCCATTTCCGACTGTCCCTCGGTTCACCAGTCTGTAAGACTTCGGGGTGACGTTGCATTCAAACATGGCCCATGGCTCTTGTATATCACAGGCAAGGTCCACATCACCCATGTGCGAAGCGCCCAGGGGGCATTGCAGACAACGAGGGCCTGTTACTGTTCGTGTGAGTGTAAGTTTCATGGATGTCCAGCTGTACCAGTCACAACCGTCTTCACCCGAATAGAAAGCCCGGTCATTATAGCTGTGCATTCTGTGCGACTTTCAGTCTAGATGCAGCCAAAATGACCGGGCGTTCTATTTGGGTGAAGACGGTAGAGGGGAGTCCATTGGAGGGAGTTGACGGCCCACTTGCCATGCCGACTGCGAGGGTGTTGATGACAGCGGAGCCAGTCAGGTAGCTAGCTGGTAAGAAGCAGGGTTGCTGAAGCAGCTGGGGCAGGTAGCAAACGTGGTAGAGAATCCATCCTACCTGTCCTATATCTACTTTACTAATCTGTAGGCCCTTATCAGGGCCCTGACTACGGGTCCTGCTCCATCTCCTGCCAGAGGCCGACCGTACCGGTAGATGGGCCTTTCGTCTGTCCACCAACCGTATATGGGCACCGATCACAGAGGTCCAAGCAGCAGGCATTACGTACAGCTAGAGATCCGTGACGGAGCCCAGGTAAATAACGAACGATTCTTCCTGGTCTTAGATCATAGACCTCAAAATCCGCCTCCACCAACTGCTCGCCCTCTCCCTTACCCAGCTGCAGCTGTCGGCTAATCCTTTAAAAGGCTTATGCTTTGCCAATGAACCCTCCACCTCTTCGAATGGTGGTTCGCCAACCGAATTAACCCCTCTGGCAAGAGATAGCAACCGGCAATAGCCCACGTGCCTGAGGCGGGAAGGGTCCAAATTGCCTGCTGCTGGAGCAGCTGGACAATTCCACATTGCCACGCGTTGCATACGAATTGGTTCAGTCTTCCTGGCTGGTCCAGCTTAGGTGTAGTGGCCTGCAAAGCGGTTAGGTCCACATCTAATTGGCTACCTGAGGTAGTGGGTTTTGTGTGTTGTTGTTG